ACACATGATATAGTTTTTCAAACTTATTGTATTATTTATTAATCTATCAATATTTTTTTTATTCATTTGCTTTATTTTATTTATCATTATTTATTTACTGTCATTTAAATTTGAGGTGAATAATTTTTAAGAAATTGAAATTATTCTGAAAGCCGAAACGTCGCAAATGCAATGAAAATAATATACAATAAAACATGGTGAAAATAGTTTATTATAGTTATTATTTAAACAAATTTTCAAAATTATAATTGCAGATTCTTTTTTCGCTTCTACCATAGAGGTTCATGGGCGGTAAGACATCCCTTTTACATTCTATATTATAGTATCGTTATAAATCGAAATTATAACGTGGCTTATTAATATAAATAATCATAATAATATATATGTATATATTTATAATAATAGGGGACTTAGCGAACCCGAAGGTTCGATGTTTAAACCACCAATCGCTGTCTACACACATTGTCCACCGGTCGCCACCCAAATCCTATCCCTTCAGTCGCAATCTTCCCACCTTCGCTTCGGTCTACCACTCGGACGTTTATCAGTCGACACAGCTAATTAATATAATGTTCCTAGATTAATTATACGTTAAATTAACATCAAAGCTCACAATGAAAATAGAGCACTCCGTGTAATAGCAAATCAGACCCTAAACAATTCCACTAGCGTACATCTTAGGACCTTAAATTACTTTATACATTCGCATAGCATGGTACTTGATACAAAATCTGATTAAGAACTCCAGACAGGAGTAACAATGCGTCGGTGATAAGAGTCATACAAGAGGCATTGTATTCAGAACAGTATGTTAGACAGATTAAACCGCTTAGATAATTGTTACCAACGGCAGGACGATATCTCAGTAATGGCCAATGAAAAATAGACTTCACACAGAGATAGGAAGCTTGGAAAGTAACAGTTTACACGGTTGAATGTGTTTATCAAAAAATCCTGATGAATACATTGTATAGTTACTTCACTTTTTTTCATTTTCTATATATCGCTTCATTTTTATATATGAGTGGCTTTATATCAAAGAAAGGCATCTTTCATTTTCAGAAAGTGGAGAAAAAGTCAATCTTTGTTTTATAAGTTCAACTCGAACTGTTTCTGATTATATTATTTAAGAATGTTGAAGTTGAATCATGAAAGAAAATCATTATTATTGGTTTATATTTAAGAAAAAATTGGCCTTTTCTCGACTTTTTAAAAATGACACATGGCCGTCTTTGATATGAAGCCACTCATATAATCTATGAGGAAGAATTATATTGGCTTTTGGGTTTAAATTGTATAGTTAATATATTTTTTAAGAGTATATATCATGAAAGTAACCTTACTTAGCTACTTATCTTCAAAATTAACTTTTCATCAGTGTTATCGTGATAATAAAAAATCTTCGTAAATTCTTATAGAAATGGAATGCATGAGTGTATATAAATAAAAAATTATAAGCCATTTCGGGCTGAAGTCTCTCCCAATATGGTAAAATATGACCATGTTTTATAGAAACAAATATTAAAAACTATCTCTTAAAGTATTATTGTTCGTGTAATTACATTTAATAGGACTTCAAGACTCAGTTAAACACCATATAATATAGGTAATTAGTTTCTTCCTTTTTTTTTCAAATTAATTATCGTTATATATATATGGAAAAAAAAAATCTTTCGGGATGAAGGCTCCCCCAAAATTAAATCCTGGATCCGCTAGTGCCTGGTCTTATCACTTATCAAAATCCATTTACACGGTTAAGAATATTGACCAAAGTGAATTTATTAAAAAATTTGAACAAGAAAGATTGCAAGAGTGCTTTAAATTGGCATCAATTAACCAACATTTAGGATTATCAAAATGTTTTTTAGACATATTGCTGGATAATGAAAAATATTTATCCACTTTGTTAAAATAGTCAAAGAAAACAAGATTTCCTGAAAGTTGAAATTTGTAAGAGTGGAGGACAGGAACAGAATGGAAGAGTGAAGAAAGACGGCCTTTATTAAGTGGACAAGGTTTACTATAAACTATTTCTTGGCGCCATTTGTCTTTGGAGTAGCATCGGAAGAAATTAAAATAGATAAATAAACGTTAAATTGAAATTTAAAAAAAATATTTATATGAAAATGTCTTGAATTCTTAAATCGGAAGATAGTCTATTTTTGAATGCTCATCAATATTTAAGAAAGCTATACTCAGAAAAACTCCATTTTCTTTCTTTGAAGAATATTTTTTATAAGCGGTATGAATGAATTTAAAAGGAAAATAAGTGGTAGTATTATTTAGTATTACGCATGATAGCATTTTATAAATGATTTTGGGATTTATCCGACTACCTAATATAACCGGATCATCCAATACCCTAATTTAACCAGCACGAACGGGGAACAATGGAATGGCTGCTCCCGCAGGCAGGTTTCTTCACACACTAAAAGTGAAAACTTTAATTAGGTAAGCTCCACGGTCAAACTGGAAAGTCGTCATTCATGTTTACAAGAAACTTATGAATTGAAAA